GAGGGTGCGCTCCTTGGGGCGGCGAGTGTCTCGGACGCTGCCCTCGGCCGGGCTACTGCCTACGTAACACTAGATAGGACTGGAGTGTCAGGCTGGACTTTGCACAGTCTGGAGCTGGGCGATGTGGCCACTGAGATCTGTTGCTGGGACGTGGGCTGCCGGGGGAGAGATCAATATGACTCGTCGGAGTCCCGCTGCCTGGCTTGGAAACCTACCTGCCTCCAAACCCCACGGCGCCGCAGTTCACGTGTGTGGCTCTCCTCGCTGGCCAGCCGAATTGGGCGTGGCCCGTGCCCTCCCTGAGGGGCAGGCTCTGGTCTTGCGTCACTTCCAAGGCCTCCGGATTTATACCGGAGAGCAGAACCTGGGCCCAAGTGCCTCGCACCGCACAGCGCCGGCCAGACATCGCCAATGGGGACCTGCATCCTGGCGAAGAGGTGGACAGGTTTCTCTCTGTATCCCCTGCCCCATTGGGGCATCTCCCGAGCGCCTGTACATGTCTCTGTACGACGCTTCTTCCAGGCAGGGCTCTGTGCTGCCGAGGGCGATAGGTTGTTCCTGTCTGGGTGCTTCAGGGATTGTTAAAGACCATGGACATAGGGGACAAAAATACAGCGCTTGGCACAGCCAGACCTGCATCAGACTTCCACCTTGCAGATAAGGCAGCTCGTACTCTGGCCTGGATTTATCCTAGACTGAAATAAGACACCAAAGACCCGGCCTTTCCGGCCAGGTATGACGCCCATTCTTCCCACCCCGCTCTGGGCGGGGCTTGGCTCCAGGGGCGGGGCTTCCAGAAGAAGGGGCGGGACTGGGACTTGCTTGGGCCTTCACCTGCTGCCCATGCTTACAAAGATGATATCCCCCTGCAGCTGGCGAGGGTGGGATCGAATCCTAGGATTGTGGGGCTGGATGGGAGCTTGAGAAAACATCAAGTGCAGCCCCCACCAACACTGACACAAGGCCCAGGGACTCGAGACCTTCCCCGACAGGTTTGTCCGGCCTGTGCGTCTAATGGATGGAGTCCAAAATCTCTCCTGGAAGCTTAACAAGGGTGGAGTTTGCACGTTTTTCCTAATATCCCACCTAACTGTCCAGGGCTGCAGAGAAAACCCGTTACTCCTCGTCCTACCTGCAACGGACGTGAAGAAGACTTGATCGCAGTCCTCGCCCGCAGCCCTTAACGTGTCTGAAGACGATCAGCAGCTCCTCCCTGTCTTCTTCACTCCTAATTAACCTCACCCCGTCTTTCAGCCTCTCCTCGTACGTCAGGTTTTCTAAGCTGTTTTACCATTTGGTGCTGTCCTCTGGATAGGGATGTCATAGTGTAGTCGATTAATTGTGTAGCAAATGCTTATCGGTTAATGCTGTAGATTACATGCATCCCCCCGCCCCACCACCACTACTTGTCAGTACATTTTTTAGCAGGCTGGCCAGCAGCCCGGCTCAGTTCTGGCTTGAAATAGATCCGGGCCCTACTCCTGCTGCAGCTCTGCATTTAAAGTGTATTAGGAGCCCGGCGGGCCGGCAGCCCGGCTCAGTTCTGGCTTGCACCAGATCCATGAGCTCAAACCCACCCTTGACAGGGGCTGCTGCCATGCCACGCTGCTGCCTCTGTATCGCCTCTGTATCAGAGGCAGCAGCACAGAGTGACAGGCAGCCAGTCCACGAGGGGAGCTGGTCTTTAAACTGGCTCCCCTCACAGACCAGCTCCCGCCTGGCACCCTGCGTTTTTGCCTCTGATACAGAGGCAGCAGCGCGGAGTGTCAGGGGTTTCCTTGGGAGTGGTGCCGGAGCACACTGGCTGCTGGCCCTGCCCCCAGGGACTATTAAATAGTCGATTAACTAATAAGAATTCTTGAGGTTACTCGACTGGTCAATTAACCGATATTTAACATCCCTACTTCTGGATCCCCCATTTTGGCCACATCTTTCCTAAAATGCGGCAGCCGAAAGTGGACACCGAACTCCAGCTGAGCCCTCCCCCGTGGGTCAGTTACCTCCCCTGCCTTGCATTGGACATTCCTGTCCGTGCTCCCCAAAATCTTCGCTATTTTGCACGGGCGTTGCATGGGCTCACTCATACTCCGTTTGTGATCCGCTATCACCGCCTCGTCGTGACTGCCACTTGGCCGGCTACTCCCCACCTTGCAGGAAAGTCTTTGATTTGTCATCCCCAAACGGAGCTCTTTGTACTCAGTCACCGTACCACCAGCCCCCGAGGTTCAAAATCACCAGACAGCCCCGCCCTGAAATCGCTGAGATTGGCTGAACACGGGCTAAGATTCTTAAAAATACGATTCGTCCTCTCTCTGCTCTGGTTTTGGGGCCTGGCTGCAGGGACGGGGCGTCTCGTTGTCAAGGTTTTCTCCGCGCCCGTCCTGGCTGGAAGCGTCCTGCCTTGGTAAAGGAAACCCAAGTCTCTTTCGTAGCCACGTGGCGCCAGGAGCCGAGCGTTCCCTAAAACACGAAACGCCGCAAGAGTTGGCAGCCGTGGCCCGAAGCCCCCCAGACACGGGGGGGGGGTGACACCCACGGCAGCGCTTGTGCAGTTTGCCTTGCACTAATTCCAGGCAGCCGGGGGCCAGCAAAGACCAAACGGATGAACACGGGAGCTGGAGCAAGGGCAGCTGGGGACGGAAGCCGTGTGCGTCAGTAGATGGAGTATGAGAGTGATGAGCAGGCCCACCCATGGGGGGGAGGGGCAAAGGGGGAAGTGGTCCCGGGGCCCAGCAATTCAAAGGGACCCGGGGTCCCCAGGTGATGCCGCTCTGCACAGCTCTGAAGTCTGGGGGGTGGGGGCAGCGTCACATCCCCGGTGATGCGGAGGGCTGCCTGCTCCCAGCCCCGCCCCTTTTGCCTGAGGCCCCGCCCCTTCTGGGGCACAGAGCCTCCCCTCCTCCCCCACACACACAGCTGGCCCAGGGGCCCGCGGAAGCAGTCCGCCCTGCTGGTGGTGTCTAAGGCTCGGCATGAGGACTCAGGTTGCAAGTCCCAGCTCTGTCTATGACTGGGCCCAAGTCACTGAACTTTTCTGCCTCAGTTTCCCCAGACCAGATACAAACTGCGGCTGAGGTCCTGACACAGGGGCCCTGTGAGGATAAACAAGCATTTGTCGTGCGCTCGGAGAGCCGTGATGGACGGGCCAGGGACCGTCCCTGGACCGCAGCAGAGCGTAGCATCCGGGGCGGTGAGCTGGCCTCGGGCCGGCGCTGAGTGGAACAGGCTGTTTTCCGGGGGCAGGGGCCAGCTTTGTTCGTGGCACGTCAGGAGGAAAAAAAACCAGCAATCTGCCCGAGACGGTGGTGCTCGCCTTGCAGGGCGCCGTCCCCTCCAAGCTCCTGGGACAGCCAGGCTCGGGCAGGGGATGGGCCGTCCCACGCGG